ATCAACTTAAAAGGCCATTGTTGCATTCATTTAGTGGAGATCATTAAAGAGCCGTGACAGGCCACAAGTCGCGTGACATCATACGTGTAACGACCAATGACGTCGGCCTGCAAAACCCAATGGAAGCGGCTAGCAGCGTGCAATAAAACAGGGCGCTGCTTTCTAAATGTCTGTCGTGCGCCATAAATGAATATATTCTTTGTAGCCTGGCAACTCAGTATCTTTTTTTAACTATTGTACTAGTATTTAATAATTTCATAATTTTATAATTGTGCTTACGCTTTATGTTGATATTAGTGATAAATCCTTAGATAAAGTAAATCGATGTGATATTTAATAGAAAAATAGCAAACTAACGCACCATTCATTCGAAAGCTGGGGAACCTACTAAAAAGAACTACTAAAATTCCTGAGGAACCAAAGGATCAAATTGGGATTAAATAGATGCCTGCTATTCCGTCGTGAAAACGGCCACTGTGTTTATTTAAACGTATACGGAAGCCTTCCTACCCATCTAATAGTATTGAGCTTTTACCCAATTCGATCAGTTGCCATGCGGCTCCGACTCTCATAACGACCGGTGCCTGCAATGAGTGTGCTATGTGGCCGCTGGCTCTCCGGAACTTCCAAACACGCGGGGCGTCCGCGGAGCGGTTTGTGCTGCCCGTCTGCAGCAGTGCTGCTTCTGGGACATTCCTCTCACGGTCGTTAACAGCTCAATAGCGAGAAGCAGCCGCGGTGTACCGCCCTAAAGCGCCCCCAAATCACCGAGCCGCTTACTGTCGGAGATAATATGACGAGCACGGCAGATATGCATTGTCTGGGAGTGCTCGGAGCTCCTTGAGGCGCTAACCGTCTGCGCGGGCTGCAGCAGCCAGTTGTTGGTCGTTGTCGTCCCCGGCGCCGCCCCCGGCTCCCGGGCACCGCCGACGGGGCGGCCGCCGGGGCGGGGCCTGGCCGTCGTTCCCACGCCGCTGCCCTTTGAGCGTGCCGCCATTTTGCGGCGTCGGCGAGTCTCGCGCGCCTCGCTGCCCGGCGGCGATCGCGGCGCGGGCACTGGGCCGCAATCTGGCGCGATATACGGCCGCGATGGCCACTGCGGGGGACAGCTGAGAGGCCGGCGGGGCCGCCAGGGCCGCCCTCGCCGCCCTCGGCCGCCGCCATCCACCCGCCCGCCGGCGGCGCCCTCTCGTAAAAGCAAGGCAGCGCGTCGAGCGGGCGCTCGCAAATGTTATTTGTGATCCATTGCGCGGCTGGGGGGCGGATAATGCCGGCGTGCACGCTACCGCCTTACGCCGGCTGAGGGTTTCACGAGCTGGGGCGGAGCGCTGGAAGAAGGATGTGATGCCTGTTGGGAGACGTGATGCGCCGCAACCGCCGGTGCCGCGCCGCGTCTGCCACAGCGCAGCGCTCGGCTGTTATTAGCGAAAAATTTACAGCGCCGAACGGCCGATACTATCGGAGGTTTCTCCTCAGATTGCACGTGTTCAGGATGAAATTAATTGAGACCTCCGACGGAAAATGGTAGGTCGTAGACTTTTATTGGCTCGCGGCGGAGTGTATCTTAGACTGCGATCTAATGCTGTTATGGCCACAGTACGTGTGATGAATTTATTACTCAATTGCCGGCGGTAATGCGAAATGCAGGGAAATTTATCGATGCTCGTGCGTCCCTCTGCCATGCGGAATTGCCATCCAGCAAGATGCAAATAATTGAGCGCAGATACGGTCACCTAAATCATTTTGTATGTTTTTTAAATACACTAACTCATGATGAGAATCAATGTCCTGATAGGTCTCGTGCTCTCAGATGTAGTTTTGAACCGAAACTATCAACATAACTGTTCATTACATAAATCACTTTATGATTAAATCCAGGCTACAAAAGGAACACTCCCGCTTCCCGGCCAAGTGGTGGAGGCCATCGTTAGATTTTAGAATAGAAACTAATGCTGTACCAGCATTTCTAAAATGTATGAGGTTATTGCAGCAAATGCTCTCCATGTCATGGTTGGGATTGGGAAATGCATGTATTGTCCATTGTCCAGCCCCATTGCCCGTTGCCTATTGCTTAGCCCTCGACCATTGGAAACCAATTTTCATTAGTTTGCTGATTTCCAATATCTTACGCTGTTTTCTCACCTGGATAAGTGCATTGGTGTTATATACCACAATGCACGATTAGCTGAAGACTAAATTGGAGTCACTGTAGTGCCACAAATATTCATGTATCACTGACATATATGATTCATGTTATCTTGGCACACTATGTGCCCAACTGGCTCATTAATGCAGCAAATGATAACAACCGTTTTCACGACGGCCATCTGGTATACATTTGGTGCAGATTAGGTGCAGATTTGGTGCAGATTTGATGCAGATTTGCTCAAATTAGGTTCAGTGTGTTCCATAAAAGTTTGGGGGCTGCACACATCCTTACGTTTCTATCTCTTTTTTCAAATAATCAGACATTGTTTTCGATTAAAACACCGAAATAGATTCATGATACGAAGATGTCTATTATAAAAAAGATAACCTGTGTAAATTTGGTCAAATTAGGTGCATTCGCTAGATAGTCCGTCGTGAAGACGGCTATTAGAAACCAGTCAATTGTTCTAAATAGTTTTTTATGAGCCTGGCAAACTACCAAAAATGATGTCTGTTGTTGAGGGCGAAATAATTCAGACAAAATGATAAAAAGCGCCACAAAGCTATTCTTGCTAAATGAATTCGTAAGTGATCGAACGATTCAGACATGGCTTACTAGTCACTCACATAATAATCAGTTACTGACCAGCGACCATGACATTAAGCAAATGCATGAGCAGTTTGTTCCCAAGTCTAACACATGGGAAAACGCCCAATCAAAATAACTGCATCAACACTGACCGGGAAAATGTGATTCAGCCAAGACCGATACGAGCACATGAACGTGACCTACCAGCAAAAACGCACAGCCAGTTGTATTTCCCAGCTCAGGGGTGAACCGCCTACTTACCGAGCCCTGTCCGCTCCGAAAACATGATTTACCTTGCATGCTGACAGTTGTCCGGACGTGCAGTTGACCAACACGGTCCGAGACCGTCAGCCCTCCGTCAGCCGTATACCGAGAAATGAGCGTTCTCACGGCGCGGGTGTCGTGAGCACCTGCATGTGCGAGCGCGAAGCTGCTTCTCACCACCACTATACACGTCCACTTTTACCGGCGCCATTGTTACCGGTCCTTGTTTGGAATAATCCGTCCGGTGGCCACTGATATACCATGTCGTGTTATCACTCATCGGTACACGAACCTCATTTATTATGCAATCTGTCACGTGAATAAACGCTTCTGAAAAGTGGCCAGGGGCGTGCGGCGCCGGCATTTGTTTTCCGGAGGGAAGTCCTCCATCAGTGACACGTGTGCTCCACACTTATCCATGTCCCTCGGAGGTCGCAGAAGGTCGAGCGAGTTCACAATCAGGCGATGTATGCTGGATGAACATCAGGAAGTGAAGAAACAGGAAATTGAATTTGTTGTCGCGTAATTCTGCTCGCTGTGATTGGCGCTAAGAAAGCCACCTCAATCGATGCAAACGCCATCGAAAGGGAGCCATCAGATTTGCGATCGCTAAATCGACGACATATCGCCGGTTTTTAAACCTTTGTCGGTCCAATAAGGGCATCACTGTGTCATGTTTCGATTGATGTGCACATTTGTAGACTTTTTAGGTGGCAATGACTTTCCGTTTGAGCTACCGATTTCGGCCGGTCCGCTGTCTGATGGCGCGATTAGGAGTGTACTTATCGCCAATGACAACGCGATGATGACGCGATGCCTCCCTATCTAGAAATAAAGCACTTCTATTTTGTGCCACATTTTATCTAAATTATTCACTGACTGGACGTTAGCTTGCATGCAGTTGGCTTATTTTGAGCATGAGCTTTGAGTAAACCATAATAATCTAAAAAGCAATTTCGCTTTAACATTTGTTCTGCAATTATCAGCAATTTGTAATTGTCAGCAATTTTCTCAAGTAGATGCCACTTGACCCCAATCATACGTATGCTATGCGTTTGAGTGCATTTACCGTTGTTCACAATGCAAACAAAAAATGGACCGCTTATGCAGACGGCCGCCATTCGCTAGTATGATGAGATATTTTATGGTAAGTAGTTAAGTACACAAATATGGCATGTTACGATACGTGAAGGCGCTTGAGGCAATGCCCACATTTGGGAAAGTGCACACCGGATAGAGTAAAATGAAAAACAGAAACACTTGAGTTGGACCTAGTTAATCTTGCAGTAATTGAAAATTCTCGACATTTGTGTCTAATTTTACATGTGAGTTTTTACCATTTGTTTTTTATCTAAATCTTCCCGCGCGCTTTTCTTTGCCGCGTTCATATACATGGCATTTTCAAATTTCTATGAATTTAGTCATCATAGCAGCCGTCATTTGATTTGTTATCAGGATGCTAAATGAATGATGAGGATGATGCCCGAAGTCACGAACTACGCTCCATTGTAGGTATAGGTCACCACCTTTCGCTCCTGTTTATGTCTTCCACAAATAAGCTCTCAATGACAGATCAACAGATCTGCCACCCAGATGTGCCAAAGTGCCCTGTGTCCGGATCACTCCAGGTATGCTCCGTCCAGCTGCCCCATCTTCCCACGTTCTACACTCTGCTCTCTCCCGCCCCCTCCCCAATCGGTGGCCCTCCCTGACAAAGGCGGCCGGTTTGCCGAGCGGGGCGGCGAGGCGCCTGTCCGGCTCCCAAAGCCGGCCTGTCGCCGCACGTGATCCCTCCTAATCGCCGCCGGCCCACAAGACGGCACGAACGCCGCGCGGCAGCTGTGTTCCCACGATCGCGAGCGGCTCGGCACGCCCACTCGTCCGCCGCCGCCAGCCCGCGGCCCAGGACGAGCGGGCGTGCCCGTCCGGCGGGCTCGCGCCAAAAGTGCACCTGGCGCGTGGCGAGCACGTGGAGGCGTATATCTCTGGAGGGGAGAGGTGCACTGCTTGCAGATCACTTCCAGACGGGCCGCGGCACGCGCTACATGCGAGCCTGGTCGAGTTGTGGGAGCAGTGTCAACGCAGCAAGATGTGCAAACCGCAATCCGCATCGTCATTGGAGGCAGCCGAGCCGAAACGCCCACTCATTCGGCAGCCGGCGCCGCTGGTGAGTTGGACCTTCTGCTTTTGTTTGCCGACGGCGGTGTGCGGTACTTTGGGGCACGACTCGCTGCCTGTGCCACGTCAATTGAAATGTGCCATGTGCAGTTGACTTTTCTCCTGACTTCCCAGTAAGCATGTTCTTCCGCTTTCCATGTTAATCTGTAGGTTTTATGTGAGTTTTGAACTTAATACTTACTTGTCTTTGAGTGTGGTGATGGAGCCATCAGCTTTACGTGGGTTTTAAATTTTAATCGATACTGTTTTTCGCAGCACTGTCGGCGCCGTCGGCTGATGCTCGGTGCCAGGATCAACCTGAATCTCCTCTGGGAAGACATGCGCGCCGTCTTTTCGGCCGCTGGTGGTCCGACCTCTCCTGCCATCTATCGGCCGACGGGCGAAACTGAGGCGCTGCAGAACGCGTGGAACGAGCTACGAGAGCTGGCTATACTGAACAGCGGCGAGGGGCCTAGACTGGAAGCTCCGCCTGAACCAGGGTCCAGCACAGGAGTTTAACGGCAAACAATTTTCTCAGTGTGTGTATGATTAATTGAAGTGTTTCCGAACAGCCTGAGGAATTATAGGAGCTAGCGCAGCACGTTATAGAGCTCACGCAAATGTCAGAATCATGTCATTTGAGCGGCGATTCCTGGGCAGACCGCCCATTTTCTCACTGCATCACGAGTCTTTCTGCGGGCGCGGGGCTGTCTGAGGCTGTGATTGGTCCGTGTCAGAGCTGGCGCAGCTCCGGTGTTGTGGGGTGACCGCCGGGGCTGCCGGTGGGGAGAGGGCGGCGCCACGTCCCGCGGTGGCGGCGGCTCGTGCGGCGCCGCTCGGTCGCGCCGCTCGTCCCGTTTACACGTGCCAACCTGTGATGGATTGGGGGCCGGCGAGCCCCATTGTTTATGATTGTTTATGTTTATGGACGCTGATGGACAAGTGTGACCCGTGATATGATGTGATAGATACATACAAGAGTTGTCAAAGATGATGTTTTCGGGTGGGGCGTTTGGTAAAGCGTGCAACCGTTGCAACACAAAAAGGTATCGAGTCTTCTCTTACATCTTTTATTCTTAAGAAGCCAAGTACCAGATATATAAGTAAATTTAACTAAGCATCGTACATAGAGTGCAAACTTATTGAACTTATGAAAGGAGTTCCAGAAAACCCAAGAGGGAATCACTAGCAGTCTTTTTTCTAAGCATCGGGAAGCTGATCATCAGCTCAGGCTGATAATCAGAGCATCATACATGCCTTGATTTCCTGTTTCTCATGCACCCTCCCCTCCCCCCCCCTCCAAAGCAATTATTTGAAATCCCACGACTTTTTTCTTTCAGGCGTTAGTATGCATACGGCGGTGAGTGTGCCTGCAATAATGGTCGCTCACCTCATGATGCTCCTCCGAGTCCTCAGGGTAATATCTATACCTACTTCACTCTTTACGTATAGAAATATGCATTACAATTAGTCCTGTTTTCGTTCCATCTGGAAAATTATTGTGCAATTATTAAGCCATAAGCACGCGCCATCATGCACTTATGAGGTAGCCAAAACACATACCTACATGGCTTTATGCTGTAAGTTTAAAAAGCGAAATGCTAGAATAAGCGGGTAGTTGGCCACCTTTGCAACTGAATACTGAAACTGCAGTGCCTGATTTGCGTTTGCATTAACCATAAAGTTGGGCACTTCAAATTATGGAGCAGCTTAGCTGTCATGCGGTGTAGGCGTGGTAGGGTAGAAACCTTCCACCTATTTCACCATTTTGACATATAGCTCTTAAACGTTGCATGGTAAGAATGGCTTTGATAACCTAAAATAAATCGTTAGATCCCTACCAATAAACATAATAAAATGACGTTCGTCAGAGTATCTATACTGCATGACATGCGTTGGGCTTCTTGTAGCAATCTTACGCTTTCATTTTATTTATCAAATCAGCAAAGCCGGGTATCACCCCCTGGCCAGCTTCATCAGCTTGACACCAAACCTTTGCCAATGAATACAGGCCTTCCTCACGGTCGGGTAAGGTAAGGCTAATAACGGATAGCAAAGGTCAAAGTCGCACGGGACCAGTCCAAATAGGTACCTATTATTTATTCGTCGTTCTAGACTCTTCTAAATTATTTTGAATCGTCTTACATATTGGAGCAGGGATGGTGCATGCTCTCAAGAGGGTAGTAAAAACATTTTTCTCTCTCGTTGTTTTCAGCATCGTTGAAAACAATTTACGATAATGTTTTTAAACCATACCTATATAAGCAAACGGTGTTGTAACTTGTAGGTATATTTACCAGTATAACGCCTTTTGGGGCGACTAACGGAGCGAGCGAGAGGGTGGGCCTTGCACGTGCGAAATTTCGAGGGGGTACCTCCAACTGACTTGTGCACGGCACCCTACTAACCGGTCTCTAGCGATGTGTCAAATTTGAGCACAATCGGCCCAGCCGTTCTCGAGATCTGGGAGCGGCACCCTGCACGTGCGCACGTGCAGAAAGGGTCCCAACTGACTTGTGCACGGCACCCTACTAACTGGTCCCTAACCGTGTACCAAATTTGAGCGTCATCGGTCCAGCCGTTCTCGAGATCTGGAAACGACCCCTGCACGTGCGCACGTGCAGCAGCACCCCAACTCTGGCACATGGATATGCAGTGCCTAGTGGGTGCCTACCTACATGCCAACTTTCAGCGCAATCGGCCAAGTAGTTACCGAGATATTGCAACAATTACAAAACTGACACCTCTTCGTTTTGCACGTGGCACGTGCATAAGGGGTCACCCACATGCATCGGGAATAGTCCAATACTTGGTAGAAGGAATGAAGCTACCCTACAAAAATTACCGCGAGTAAATCGGTCAAGTGGTTGCTGAGATACGAGTATAAGCCTCGCAAAAGCGTCCGCACGGCCGGCCGGCCGGCCGGCCGCTCATACTCGGAAATTTCCGTTAATCTAAGGAAAGACTACGCTCGCTTCGCTCGCTCCGTAATAACTACAGTCTACTTTAGCTCTGTTAGAAAATGCGGAGCTTAGGAACAGCTGAGTGTTTTTATTTGATGTATTATCCCTACCGATAACTACTCTATCACGACGTGTTGATGTTTGCTATCAATAACTAGGCCAACTAGGGACAAGATGAACTATATTATTACTCCCAACTCAAAGCACTCAATTTTCTTTGCCATGATTTTTTTTTTTGTGCGGTACCGAATGAAATTCATTCTCCTATCTAAAATGCAATATGCATAGTACGACGCTACGTCAGACAGCGGCCATTGGTCAACGCAGACGGCAGATATACCTATGCATTTAAATAAATGTCCCTTCTTCTCTCCGTCTCCGCGGGGCTGGATAGTTCAAGCAACTGCCGCTAGATGGCAGAGGCGCCCGGCCTATCGCTGCGCCTGCAGCGGCGCGGCTATACTGTGCCGCACGGCTCCATTGCATTGCGGGCGGCGTCGGTGAATCAAATTTGTTGAGGAATCGACGGAGCGAGGCCTTATGACGAGGGAAAAATGGAGCACCATGCACTCGAACTACACAGCAATATCAGCCAAGGTCTTGCCCTCACCACGGATTGCTTGGCGTGGTTGATACTTGATCGTCAATCTGCGAGTTTGCTTGCGGTTGGGTTGGTCCTGAGGAAAACAAAAACGGATCAGTTTGGTGTCATCTCCGCGAAGTACTTGACATTCCATGTACCTAAATACATGTTAGCTAGTGGATACGATTGTTCATCGAAATTAACCAGCTATGTCGCAATTGCGCCTGAGTCATCACGAAACAGATATCAGTCCCACGCACAAGGGGGAAAAGCTCAAATTATTGAGCGCTCAAAAAAATTGAGCGGGCCCCATTATGAAGGAATAGGCGAAACGATGGTATTTTACAATGCCTCTAGCGTCACACTACGGCAAATATCGTATCCAAATAAGGTATCAATGGCAAGAGAGAGCAACAAGGTTTCTTCTCGAACACTCGCCGTGATAATTTATATCGGTGTTTTTGGAAAGAAATGCCCTAAAGACGCTCAACTTTTTGAGCGCCACTTGTCCTTCGGGACCGCGATACTCAATAAATTGAGCGCCACGACAGACGACAGTCAGCTGGCGCTCAAAAAATTGAGTGCCGGCCAGCACCTACACTCAATTTATTGAGCCTTCTCCGTGACAGGTGAAGCCGGTACTGGCTGCCATTTTTGATGTTATGTTCGTTGAAATACGTTAAACTGAGTTGAAACAGAAATGCAGGAAGTTGAATGCTACGTGGTACCTAAACTTTTCACAAACCCATGGCATCATGTCACATTTTCCGCTAGTAGTTTTATCGGTCGCCTTTCGGATTCGGCACACCTCAAATAATTATACAGGGCTTGAATAATCCGTATGAATACTGTATTGATATTTTCTGACTGTACTGGGAGAAGGGAATACGTGATTACAGAAAGATATCCACCCACGCTTGAATATTGGAGAATTATACAGGAAAAACTGTATTGCCACGGTTACAACTCACAAGGCCATCGGCCGCAAACAAACAAAAATACTATACAATGTGGGTTAGATTCACAAACATCATCAAGTGTGGAACACAGAGACGAGCAAAACAACATCACATTATCGCATGCCAGGCCGACCACATTGGAACCGGGTGACCTGCGAGCGGAACCTGCGTCTTGCAAGCATACATCACAACAGCAGGAGGCAGTGTCGTACTGCTTTGATCCAAATATGCCATTTAACAAATGATATAAACGACCTAAGCTCGGACTAAGCTTATCATTATCAAATCCTTAACATGTAAAAGACGAATGGAAACATCGAGTCTCAGACCAGCAGTAGCAACCATCACAGTAGCAACATCACAAAGAACACGCGGCATTATCAGACAGCCGTTTTGTTATCGGGCTACAGGCGGCGACGGCGTGGTTGCAGACCAGCTGCGAGGTAGCGGCGTGCGGGCAAAAGGCGCGGGCACACCTCCATGTGGCCGTGCGGACAGTGCGCGGTCGGCGTCGCATAGTGGGCGGCATCGGGCTGTCCCGGGGCCGTCGAAGCCGCACAGGTTGTCGGCGCATGTGGGCGCGCGCGGTCACCACGGCCAGCTGCTCACCACCAGCACAGACTGCGCAGCGTCGCCGCTCCGCCGGCCAGAACACGCAGACAACCCTTCTTGCAGTCGCACAACACGTCGCCAAACTCATTCACCTGCTCCACCATGTTGATGATGTCACCGTGTCGTTCAAGTTGTGGCTCGTGCCGTCGAGCATGACCTGCCCGATCGGACACGGGTCAGCGGCTTCTGCTCCAGCGAAGTGTTCATCTTGGTGACGTCTTGCTGATCTCCACAAAGGCTGAGCAGATGACCTTACCCACAGGGACGGCCGACGTCCTCGCCAGCGACCGCTTGGTTGTGCAGACCTGCCAGAAAAAGAAAAGCTGTTTGGTGATCTCAAACGATTTTTTTTTCTTTATGCAGTGGAACAAAATGGAAAATATGTCATACAACAGGAACTAAAAAAAGATGCAGCCTAGGTCGGCTAAGAAATGGGTGCAACATTGATAAAATTCTTCCTTGAATGAATTCTACAAATGCTTTTGATAAAATGTGTGGAGATTATAAGGAGACCACTTTACTATAAAATTGCTCAGGATTCCCTATCTGGACCTGTCAAAAAATCCTGACTGCACACCAACAATGAGCATTAAATCCGAAACCTCTACCAGGTACCTAGGGATAATTAAATTCTGATTCAGGAAAATATTTCACATCATACAAATAAAAACCTTTACTATATTGAAACTGAAAATGTGATGCCGATCCAGTGACCTAAGGGTCTCAAAGTATAATAATGAATTTATCTATTATAAATTTGGTGGTGACTGCCAACTGGCGTCTGGCAGCCTAGACCTTGAGGCTTGAAAGTGGCCTTCCTTTTCCGATGACTCCGATCCTCCAGATAGAAATGATATAAAGGATCATTTTTA